TGATGAGGAACAATGGTAATAAGCTGATGGAGAATAGGTTTAGGTTAGAGATCAGAAGGCAATATTTTACAGTTAGGGTGGCTAAAATCTGGAACCAACTTCCCAGGGAAGTGGTCTTCACCCCTACCTTGGGCAAATTCAAGAGGAGGTTGGATGATCACCTGCCTGGGGTCTTGTGAACCCAGCATTCATTCCTGCCTGTGGCAGAGGGTCAGGCTAGATGATCTGTTTAGGTCCCTCCTGACACTATCTACCGTGAAACTTGTGGTCACCAACTGAACACATCTGTATTGTTCTCAACAATTCCTTCCAACTGGCTTTTATTCTACCTGAACAATCTTTTCTATATCCTAGTATTTTAATTAAAACTTGGGAACTACTTTCGTGTTTTGTTGCTTACACTTGTTACCTAGTGTGCATCTGGGTAGTTAAGTCTGTAATTTTGAGAAAATCCAGGATTTTTTCTATATTGATTGGTTTCTTCTTCTGCAGGGTGGGTGTGCACATTATGCAAGCTCTAATTTGGCCCTGCTATTTCCCATATCCTTATCCAAAACATTGATTATTTTTCATTCAGATATTAAGGCATAGGATATAATCCCTGGCAGTTTACCACAATTGTAGATATGTGCTGGTGTTTCTCTTGGGAGAAATCAGTGGCACATGGTCCTTGTCACTGGAAGAGAGATCCAGGATGGAGCTCACTGAGTTGTTCCTCCCTGCTTTTTGAGAGAAGAATGGGACAGATTTTACTGGTATCTTCTCCCACCTTTTACTGCCATAGTGGTATTCTGCTATTGGGATTCATGATGGTATAATGATGTATGATAGAGACCTAAAAAATTACACGGGAAAAAATTCCCCATCACCAGAAGGTAAATCCATGGCAGCAATCACTAAGGTATGTCTCTATGGGCTATGCTGGTTGTCAATATTCCTAAGAAAGTTTTAAAACCATGTAATAGTAACCACAGTGAAAATTTACTGTAAGTTATGATTCTTGTCTTGCCTGTTCCCAGTCCAACTTAAACTTGTCTCTACCGTGGACATGAGAAGCTTGTATGATTTTTATCATTTACTTCCCTTTGAACTGAGGTAGTTTCTACTCCACACGTACGTGTGTGTGTGTCACACACATGCACACACACGAGTGAATACCAGTAACACAGGAGGAAGGACAGAAATAGATATGCAGAGTGGGGGGAAACAGAAAGAGATGCATATAGGCAAGGGGGGAGATTGACAAAGCAAGAAAGGTTGCACATGTAGCCAGTAAACCATGCACAAACATGGAAAACTTAAGTTTCCCATAGACAGGGGAAAGAGCCCCTTTTGCAATGACCATGAAATCAGTCCTGTGTAGGTTGTTGTCCAGCCCGGGGAGTGGGGAGGGGGAGGAATGTGGGTTGGGCAAAGTCTAGAATTACACCACTGCAGAATTTTTCTTCCACACTTTAAATAGCCAGTACCTTTCACTACTGCTTTCACATTTCCCTCCGGCCAGATCCCTGACAGCTCATTTCTTAAGGTAACAGTTCAGTTTTTCTTCTTCTTTCTCTTCCCCAGCCCATGTGCTTAGCTTATGGTCAAGAGGTCATGGTTTGCTTTCTGTTGATCTAGTAATTTTCTAGTGTACATAATGTACACTAGAAATATG